ATTTTTTTTTTGTATTTAAATAATTGAATTCTCGTAGAATTTTCTAATAAAAATTGATTTAAAAATAGATTTCAGTTAAAATTTTAGATTATAATTGAATATTAAAAGCATTAGAGTGTGAATTTTTAGAAATAATTAAATTTTTAAATTTTTAAAATCTGTATTTTTATATTTTTAACTAATAATTATGTGGAATTATTTTTTTTGAGAAAGTTTAATTGCCAATTTTTTTTGAAATTATTTGATGTTTTTATTTTCTAATATATATTTAAATGAAGAATTTACGATTAATTGAAATTTTGTAAAATTGAATTGTAAACAAATGAATTTGAAAATTCTCAAAGAACTTTTTCACAAATTATGAAAAATAATGCATTTATAGAAGAATTTTTGTTAAAAATACGAAAAAAAAATTTATTTCGGAAAAATTAAAAATTATTGCGGAAATTCAATTATTTTCAATTATTTTTCTAGGCAAAAAATAAATATTGTTCATAAATAATAAAATTCTTTTTGAAATTCAATTATTTTCTTAACTAATTGAATTTATTTAAAAGTTTGTTGATGAAATTCTTTATAAGAATTGAATTTTAAAAAACATTAAATTATTCAATAAATTATTTTTTTTTTGTATTGTAATAATTGAATTGAATTTTGAAATTAATTTTTCTGAAAAAGTTTAATTGGATTTTTATAGTTTTAAGTAAAATGTTCTCTTATTTGACTCGGATTGGTTATATTATTGTCCGTAAATGGTCCGTAATTTTTCATTCTTGGCCCGTAAAGTCCGTATTTTTAAATAATTTCACTGCTTTCTAAACTGGAATTTGTAAAAATGTTTACTAATTTGAATTAGTGTATGACTTTTTGCTTTTGAATTAATAGATTTTACTAATAAATAGTAATTTCTACTAAATTTTTAGTAAAACTTACTAATTCAAAAGCAAAAAGTCAGTCACTAATTCGAATTAGTAAACATTTTTACTAATTGAAATTTAGAGAGTGGTTCGAGCCCTGAGTTTTGTGAAAATAAGAGAAAGTATAAAATTGTGTTTAGAAAAATTAGACGGAGATAAGATAAAATAAAGTAGAAAAAACACGAACTAATGATACAAACAGAAATTAAAAATGAAATCTGACAATTAATTGTTTAATTAACAAATTGAAAAAAAAGTGATACGCTTTTTAAATTAGCCCCCGGGTGAAAATAATTTATACCCCTTACTCATAAAATGAAATAATGTGCTTCGTAAATATCTATATATACATAAATATGGTAATGGAACTTGTGAAATTTCCAATAATAAAATTAAGCTATAAAAGCATTTTCCGTGAACGCGCGCGGAAATTGTATACACCATTATTCCTGAACACGTGTGAAGATTTATCGTGTTTGCCGAGAATCAAGAGAGGGGGGCCAATAGAAACATGAAACCAAAAAGTTTGTTGTATGTAGTTCCAAATTAAATTTGCCATCTTTTGGTTATTATTATAATAATAATAAAAAAAGGAAAATAAAATAATAATAATTTTGGAAAAAGAGTGCTAAATCGTCAAATTTCCGGTTATATATGTGCACAGTATAGGTATATAAATTTTTAAAGGGAAAAAGTTTCCCTTAGGTCCCAATGTTCCCATAATGCTTGAAGCATAAACACCCTAATAGCTTTGTAAACAATGGCGGTATAAACCACAACGTACTTTGAAGCCTACGCGATTTCCCCTAACAATGTTGTCCTTTCGAATTTGAAAATCCTGACGGAAACGTCGCGTTGTGGTTTGTCTTGTAAACGGATAACGTTGTGTCAAGGGCTTATAAGTTTTAAGGTCTCGAAGTATATATTGAGAGGAGCCGAATATAGATTTGTGAGCTATCTGTGGGTTTTATATTTGTCCAGTTGCCGCATATATACATATATACGATAAGTGGGTTTCTCTTCGTTCATCACCTTCCAAAACAAAAGGTGGAAATTTCCCCTCATGGCATTTTTTTTCTCTTCATATTACTTAAATATACATTAGTTTCATAGATAAGTACATTGTAATACAGATTGTCTATGTGTCAATAATTATTTTTCAGATAAACTCAATTTTCGATATATGTATTTATATACCGATGTATGTATTTCAATATTTCTTGATGGGAAAAAAAAATTGAATTGGGAAAAAAAAGAATAAATAGAGGGAAAAAATTAGAACCAGAGTATAAAATTGAAAAATTTTTTTTTAAAGTTTGGGTCAATAATAAATGAAACGGTGTGTTTACATTTTGATATTTTTCAATTTTTGCTTTTAGGAGAAATTTTTTAAAATGATTGAAAAATATTGTAGGAATATTTTATATTAAAAATGTTCAATAAATGAAAATTAAAATGCGCAATAATTAATAGAAACGAAATATAAAAATATTGTAGAAAAATTTAGGCATTATTATTATTCAGGGAAGTCAGGAAAAAGTCAGGGAATTTTGTCAAAAGTACTGGAATAATATTCAATTTCAACAATTCATAAGAAAAACTCTGAATGTCATTCTTCAGCATTGAAAAGATTTTATTTATTTAAAACTTTTTCTATTTTTAACAATAATTGAACTTTATAGATTAAAAATTTAATTTTTGAAAAACTACCGAGAAAAAATTACTTTTTATGAATTATTTTGGAATAATTTTTTATTTAAACATTCAAAACATAATTGAATTTATGAAATTATTCATGAAATTTGTGTTTTTAAATTTTTTTATAAATAATATAAATAAGTAGCAAATGTCACGCCCGTCAAACGAAGTATTTAATTTATTATTATATTCTATTAATTATGTAAATGACAAATTTTTTATTTTCAAATTTATTTGTGAATAATTTCGAATTTACAATGAAAAAAATTTAACTTATTAATAAATTTCTTCAAAAATATTCAATTTTCTTTTGATAAAATTTTTTGCATGAGATTTAATATTATTTTTAATATAGTTTCAATAATTTCTCTATAGAATTAAATTATTTTTAATAAAATTTCTCGAAAGAATTCAATTTTTTTTTTATTTTTCATAAAATTCTTTATAAGTATTTAATTATTCTGAATACAATTTTAATTGAATTACTCAAAAAAATTCGACTATCTTTACAAAATTTCAATAAAAAATTCTTTGAAAAATTTATGGGAAAGTTACAAAAATGTTAACTTTTAAAATAGAAAAAATTTCACATATTAACGCAAAATTGTGTGTGAAGTAAATTATTATTTCTAAATTTTTTTGCAATAATATTACTTAGTATATCAAAAAATTTATTTTCTAAATTTGAATTAGTTAAAATTTAACCTGATTAGTACAGAAGTGATATGAATTTTCCATAAATATTTTTTTTTATTCCTAGGACATAAAACAAGACATTAAAATAAATAAAATTATGTTCCTCTCAGAAAATAAATTTTAAAAAATTTTAATTAGTATTTCTGAATAAGTTAGTTTTTTAAAAACAATTTTTTTGAAACATTTTTTAAAAAATTCTCGTCAAAAAGAATTCATAAATATTTTAATAAAATTCTACGCAAACATTGACACAATTTGTATTTTATTATTATTGGAAATTTTTTTGTCAAACTAAGTAAAAGTCGATATAGAATTTTAAAGTTTAATAATTTTCTGAACGTTCGTCGAGAATTCAATTATTTGAATATAAAAATCAAATTTTTGTAATAATTGTACTAACTGTAACTGACCATATGTTTTTTTTAAAGTTATTAATTAAGGTATAATATTTTCAAAATATGATAATTAAAAATCCTTAAAATTAATTTTTCAAAGATATTTAAAAATAATATTTAAAAGATATAGTCTTTCAATTACATAGGTACAATTAAAAAATTTCCAAACAATAATTGAAATTTGCTGTAAAATCCTTAAAAAATATTTTTATTTTTACAGAATTTTAACAATAAATATGAAAATTCTCCGAAATTTCAAAGAGTCTAAAAAAATTAAAAATATTTCTAAAAAATTTTAATGCTATATTTTGTATATATGTATTCGAATTTTCAGAAATATGTCATTAAAAATATTGAAAATAATCAAATTTTAAAAAATTAGAATAAGAAAATAATTACTTTTTTCAAAAATATTTTGATATAGGAAATATTTCTTATTTCCTAATCTGAATGAGATTTTCTTACTAATTGATAAGGAAAAAATCAGATGTGATTCTCTCTAAATCTAAATAAGTGGATATTCTCTTAGAATAGATCATTAAAAATAAATAAAAAATCACTTATAAATAAGCCTATCTCCACGTACTTTTTTACGTAACTGTTAAGTAACTTTTTTTTTATGTAACTATTCTCAGTGAATTTTCACTTATCTAAATTTAAAGATTAATGATTAGTTATTTTGTATATAGATTAAAATTTTAAAATGCTAAATTAGAAAAATAATTTTTCTATAAAAATGTGTCTGTGTAAACAAGTAGTCCTTAAATATTTCTTAAAAATTTGATGATATATCATAAATTTACCTGAAATGTGAAAAGAAAACAGTAAACAATACGATAGGATGCCCCATTATCAAAGACAATAGCGTAATATTATAGGTAAAGTAAAGCAATGGTTTTTAAATCGCGATATTTTATTCAATTTTTGCATATTTTCGAATGAAACAAAAACGAAATTACTCGTTAAAATATTCTGCGAATGATGAAAAGGGTAAAAAAAATTATTTTAATTATAAATAAAATTTGTTATTAATTTTTTTCTGAACAGTTTGCAAAAATCGTACAGTGCAATCTTCACGAGCTTCGTTTAACAGGCGAATTTTGAGCAGAAACAAACTTCGAGTAAGAAAGTTGTTTATTATAGCCAAAAAATTTTTTTTTGAAAATTACAATGCAATTTATTGAAAAATTAATTAATGTTTTAAGTTACGAACGCGGCTGATCGTTTTACGTAATTACCCTAATTAGTCCTCCTGTCTCTAGTCTTCTTGAGGTATATAAACAAACAACATAGAAAAAAAAGTCAGTCATTGTTAGCGAAACGTCAATTCAATATATAGGCGAAAATGAATTTAAAAATAATAAAACATTTGAATTTAATTCTATTTATTCAAGCACTTTTCTTATTGTTTGCTGCAAAAAATGTAAATTCATTGTCCAATAATTCGTTGCTATTACCAAGTAATTACGAGGGATTGTATTATCCAAGTGATAATGTAGTTATTCTCAATATTTCCAATTTTCAATCAAGTGTGTACAATTGCAATTCAAGTTGGATAGTTGAATTTTATTCTCATTGGTGTGGACATTGCATTCGATTTTCTCCATTATGGAAGACTGTTGGCAAAAACCTTCAAAGTAAGTTTCATAATATTTGTTTGAAATATGTAAAGAAATTCTTTATATATATATTCAAAGTTATTTAAAAAAAAGTTTTCTTTTAAATTTAAAAAAAAAAGTTGTTGTGGTAAATAAATAATTTTCAGATTGGAACAAAGCTGTACAAATAGCTGTGATAGACTGTGCTGATGATGAAAACAGTCCTATTTGTCGAGATAATCATGTTATAAGTTATCCAACGTTGAAATATTTTTCTGCAAATTCCAAACCAGGAACATTTGGATCTGATGTAAAGGATGTAAAGGATGTTGCAGTTTTAGAAACAATTATTCTCAATCTTGTTGAAGTTGAGGAACGGGCAGGTCGTGGTTCCTCATGGCCAAATATTCTGCCATACAGGTAATTCAAACGTTTTTAATGAAAATTATTCAAGTTTTGGAAGCTTGCTGCAAGCATGTGGTAATATTCAAAAGCTTCGTATTCGATAATTAATTTCAAAATAGTTTCTTAAAGACAGAAAAAAACAGTAGAAAAGTAACTATCGAAAAATTAAATTTGACGACTCAATTTTTTCATAATTTCAAAATTAAAATACATTCAAAAATAAAATAATTTTTTAATGTAAATATTTAAATATCCATTTTATTTTTCCACTAAAATTAATATAAATATATTTTCAATGATTTCAATCTAAAGTTTTTTTCAAATTTAACTATTTCTAAAAACTACAATTCTTCTAAATTGAATTATTTTTTGGTGGAATTTTTAAATATGATTATTCAAAACTTTACTTATTTTATTTCAAAATAAAAATTTTAATATTATTAAAGTTTTATAAAATAATTAAAATTTCCAAGGATTTCAATTTAAAAATCTTTTGTAATTTAATTATTTCTAAAAATTCACATTTTAAAGCTTCTAATATTCAATTATTATATGTAAAATTTTAACTAAAATTTAATTTAAAATCAATTCTTATAAGAGAGTTCTATGAGGATTCAATTATTTAAATAGAAAAATAAATAATTCATTGAATAATTAAAAAATATCCTAAAAGAACATTATCAAAATTTTTTTAAATAATTGAATTATTTCGAAGAATTTTTATAAAATTTTCAAGAATAATTGTATTTCTCGAAGAATTTATTTAAAATTGCATTAAAAATAATTAAAATTAAATTAAGTAAGCAATTTAATTCATTTGACAATTTTACTATATTTATGAAAACAATAGATAAAAATAACTTAAATTTTTTTCAAAACAATTGAATACAAATTCAATTATTGTTTTGAAGAAAATTTAAGTCCGTACGAGGAATGTAATTTAAATTGTAGTGAAAATAATTAAATGTTTCTAAATATTTTATCAGAATTTTTAAAAATAAATGAACTTGTCAACAAAATTGTTCCAATATTTTAAAAATAATTGAATTTTTCCAAAGAATTTTTTAACTTATTAAAATAATTGAATTTTTGCGATGAATTTTATTACAATTTTTAAAAATAATTGAATTTGTTAAAGGAATTTTTTATTGTAAATTTTGAGAATAATTAAATTCTTACAAAGAATTTTATTACAAATTTTTAAAATAAAATTTTTTCGAAGTATTTTATTAAAATTGTAATAAATAGTTAAATTATTTCGAGGAATTTAATTAAAATTGTATTAAAAATAATTGAATTCTTCCAATGAATTTTATTATTTTTTTATTATTTTTAAAAATAATTAAATTTTTTAGAGTAATTCATGAAAAAATTACATTGAAAATAATTGAATTCTTTGAAGCATTTTTTTCTTAATCAACATTTTTGAAAAAAAATTGAATTATTTCAAAGAATTTTATTAAAATATTTTAAATAATAAATAATTTACTTCTTTTGCAAAATTTTATAAAAATTATATTTCTAATAATTGATTTTATGTGAAAAGTTTGTTACAATTTTTAAAAATAATTGAATTTGTTGAAAGACTTTTTTATTGTAAAGTTTGTAAATAATTGAATTCTTTCAAAGAATTTTATTACAAATTTTAAAAATAAAATTTTTCGAAGAATTTTATTAAAATTGTAATAAATAATTGAATTATTTCGAGGAATTTCATTAAAATTGTATTAAAAGTAATTGACTTCTTCCAATGATTTTTATTATTTTTAGAAATAATTAAATTTTTTCAGAGTAATTCATTAAAAAATTACATTGGAAATAATTGAATTATTTGAAGCATTTGTTTCTTAATCAACATTTTTGTAAATAATTGAATTATTTCGAAGAATTTTATTAAAATATTTTAAATAATAAATAATTGACTTCTTTTGGAAAATTTTATAAAAAATTATATTTTTATTAATTGAATTCATGTGAAAACTTTATTATTTATGAAAATAATTGAATCTTTAGCAAAGAATTTTATTTATTTATTTATTTATTTCAAGTATCAAGTATCATTTTATTACAAATTTTAAAAATAAAATTTTTTCTAAGAATTTTATTAAAATTGTAAAAAATAATTGAAATATTTCGAGGAATTTAATTTAAATTGCATTAAAAATAATTGAATTCTTCCAATGAATTTTAGTATTTTTAGAAATAATTAAATTTTTTCAGAGTAATTGAGTAAAAAATTATATTGAAAATAATTGAATTCTTTGAAGCATTTTTTCTTAATCAACATTTTTGAAAATAAATGAATTATTTCGAAGAAATTTATCAAAATATTTTAAATAATTTACGTCTTTTGAAAAATTCTATGAAAATTATATTTCTAATAATTTAATTCATGTGAAAATTTGATTATTTATGGAAATAATTGAATCTTTAGCAAAGAAATTTATTAAAAATTTTTTTAAATAATTTTATTCTTTTGAGAAATTTTATAAAAATAGTAGATATTGAAAATAATTGAATTTTTGGGAATAATTTCATTACTTGTGAAATTATTTTACAAATTACAATAAATTACAAAGTTTATGGTAATTTTGAAGAAAATAAATGTTAATTTTTTACTTAAACTAATAGCGTATTTAAAGTATCTAGTTCAAATTCTAAAACATAAAAGAAGTAACTTTTAGAGGCTTAAATCTAAGAAAACGTAGTAAATAGTAGGTTTTAGCAGATGAGTACGAAGCTTATAGTAATGATAAAAGTAAACCAAACAATGATTCTTCTTTCAACAGTGCGGAGGATCTGAAGAATATCTGGAAATCCGTAGCAGAAAATGTGAAGTACATAACTTTAGTAACTGAATCTCCTGACTCAATTATAGGAACCAGTATGATTATGAATTTCCAAAACGTTAAGGAATTACATATTGGAAGAGTATTAGCCAACACTACAAACACCACCATCACTCTAAGTTTTCTTCAGCGGGACAAAACTGAGACGACATTAAAAATAAACAATGCCACAACTGACATAATTGAAAAAACAATCAAAGACAAACTTGAAGCCCAAGGAGTGCACGTCGTGTTACCCGACACAAAGAAGGACACTGAAATTAAAGAAGTGCCAACTATTTCGAAAGAACAAATGGCAAATCTCGAGTATGCTCATAAAGCCGGAGATGTTGTGTTTCAGCTCGATATAGAAAGAGCTCTCCGCTACTCCCTTAATCATGAGGTCGCCATGTCTGAAAATATCGATGGAGAAAAAATGGAAGCTTTAAAGAATTACATAAACGTTCTTGTGTCTTACTTCCCAAAGAAAAACAACGGAATCCGTTACTTGTTGAGTCTTAAAGAACTACTTAAAAATCGATCATCCATTACTGGCGAAAGTTTTCGTAAATTTTCAACCGCTTTTGCAAAACAACTCTCTCCGGTTTTCACCGGCAAAGATGAATGGATTGGTTGTCAGGGTAGTTTGAATTTCCGCAGAGGATTCCCCTGTGGAATGTGGACAATGTTTCACACATTGACTGTCAATTTTGCAAACATGAACAACATTCAGAAACAAGATGATCCCGCACAAGTTCTAAAGGCAATGCATGGTTATATTAAAAGTTTCTTTGGTTGTCGTTGGTGTAAAAAGCATTTCGTCGAAATGTCTGCTGAAAGACATTTATTTGACGTAAAAGGTTTTGACGAAAGTATCCTTTGGCTTTGGAGAGCTCACAATCAAGTCAATAAAAGATTAGCTGGCGATGTGACCGAGGATCCGATGCATAAGAAAATTCAATATCCTACGGCAACTGATTGTCCGTCCTGCAGAGATGGCAATGATACTTGGATAGAGAGCAACGTTCTGTCATACTTGAAGAACAAGTACTCTTACAGTGCGATCAATTTTTATGAATCTGCTCTAAAAACAAATAATCTGCATTATATAGGAAAAGATGTACCATATTTGTATTTTTCTCGTAAATAGAGAATCAGTGGAAGTCACTGAAAAATGAGTGAGCTACTAAACGACATTTCGTGCATTGTACATAATTACTAGTATGCAAATTGATTAAGTTTGAGTCCACACTTTGGAAATATTCCACTTTTGCTTACATGTTGGATTTCTTTCTTCTTTTTGTCAACAATTCGGACAAAATGTCAAATAATTATAAACTTTTCTATTTTTTATATTATTTGTGTTGTAATTTCTTAAACTCTTATTATAAAATGAATCAATTTAATTTACTCGCCAAAAAAGATTCAACTTTGCACGAAAACATTAGCTCACTTATTCTCTTAATAACATGTGGTAGAAATTCATTTGTATTTTTATAAGTTGCAATATGTCAAGATCAACTATTAATTTTACTGTTTGTAAAAAATTTTAAATTTGATTTCAATATAGGAATACGAAATGTCGTTTCGTCACTGGCACATTAATTTGTTCAACATCATCGATGGAAAATCCGCAGAAATTGAAAGTTGTTAAAATATATATTGTTAAAAAAAATATTACTTCTACAAATTGTTACTTATTTAAAGTGATATAATAAAGAAAAATAAATCAAACTATTACATAAGAAAAACCTTACTTCTTTTTTTTAAACCATCACCAAAAACCGTAAATATAAATAACTAAAAATTATCCAGATTTGAATAATATTGATAACAAAAATTTTCAATTGAAAATATTTATTTTATTAATCCAATCGAATCAGTGGATTTATTATTCACTTTTTTAATACTCTTTAATAGCAAAATTTACTATTTTCAATGACAATTTTTTTATAAAATTTATTCAAATTTTCCTCGAACATTACAATTATAGCTATCAAATATTCTTATTTTTGGAGTAGGTATATTTTACAATTTTTGAAATAAATTGTTCTAATTTTTATACAAAAAAAATTGTCTTTGAAAATAGTAAAAGTTATTCTGGAAATAACAATTTTTAATATTAAATTTTAATATTTTTGAAGGAAATTTTTCCAAGTCCCAAGTAAATTTTACTAATTTTTTTTTCTAAAATTTACTTCGTATATATATTAAACTTAATGGAATTTTAAAATAAAAGTAGTATTGTAATAAAAATTTTGAGTAAAAATTTAAAGAAAGTTACAGAAAAAGACAAAAAAAAATAATAATTAACAGAAAAAGTTTACCAAAAAAAAAAAAAATAATTTGATTTTAAAAAGCTTTAGTTAAGAGAAGAAATTAAAACAAATTTTAATAAATTTTAATGCATTATCATTATTCTAATAAAATAATTTTTACTTATTTTGGATATTCCTCTTTTTTTAAACTTAATCCCCTTTTTAGAAAATAAAATCTCCTTCTTTACCTAATATTACATGAAAAAATCATTGTGATACCTGGATAAGTTTCTAAATTACATTCAATTGAAAAATTTCCAAATAATTGAAATTTGGTAAAATTTTTTTAAAATAATTAAATTTTTGAAAACTATAAAAAAAATAAAAAAGTTTGAAGAATTTAAATTGCAAATATCCGAAATTTTAATCAGTTTGAAAAAGTAAATTTTGAAAGATTTTAATTTATTTCGTTTGAAAATAATTGAATCTTAAAAAATTATGTTAAAAAAATTCTAAGAATTAGGTTTTTAAAAACAATGTAATCTTATTATTTGAAAATAATTAAATTTCTTAAAAGAATGTTTGTAAAATTTGAAAAAAATGAATTAATTTTTTATTTTAATTAAAAATTTTGAAAGTGATTATTATCTCCAAAATGTTATAAATAATTCTAAACAATTTTAATGATATTATTTTCTGTATGTATTTGAATTTTCAGAAATGTGTAATTAGAAATATTGAAAATAATTGAATTTTAAAAAAATTAAAATGAAAAAAAATTTTAATTTTTAAATTTACACTTGAAGATTTTTCAATAAAATTTTTGAGAATTCAATTATTTTCAAGATTTGTAATTAAAATTCTTAAAATAGTTATATTATTTTCAATTAAATTTTAAGAAATTTCAATTATTCAAAATCGTTTTCATTGTTTATTTCAAAAATTTATTCAAGTAATTAGAAAAATTCAAAAATAAGTTTTGTAATATTTAGTTAGGTATTTATTCAATTATGTTCGAAAGTTTAAAAAACTTCTCGTCAAAATTTCAATTATCTTTTTAAATAATAAAATTCTTATCCAAAATTCAAATATTTTCAAAAAATGTAATAAATTTCTTTGCAAAATTTCAATTATTTTCAATAATTTTCCTAATTGATTTTCAATATCTTCTATTTTATGTAATAAAATTTCCCAAAAGAATTCAATTATTTAAAACAAATTCTGATAAAATTCTACGAAAACATTTAATTATTTTCATAAATAATAAAAATATAGGTAGGAATTCAATTATTTTCATAAATAATAAAACTCATAAAAATTTTATTAAAATCTAATTATAGATAATTTTAATTATAATATAATTTTAATGATTTAAAAATTTATTGATAAAATTCTTTAAAAGTTTCAATTTTGAGAAATATTCAATTATTCAATAAATTATTTATTTTTGTATTTACTTGATTGTAAAATAAATAAATAATTGAATTCTCGTAAAATTTTCTAATAAATATAATGATTAAAAAATGGATTTCAGTTAAAATTTTAGATAATAATTGAACATTAAAAGAATTACAGCGTAAATTAGAAATAATTTAATTTTGAAAAGGTTTAAATTAAAATTTTTGAAAATCTGAGTTTTTCATACTTTTAACTAACAATTCTGCAAAATTTATTTTTATCAATAAGTTTAACTGAATTTTTTTTAAAAATTATTTTATGCTTTATTTTCTAATATATAATTAATTGAAGAATTTTCGAATAAACGAAATTTCGTGTAAAATTGAATTGTAAACAAATGGATTTGAAAATTATTAAAAAACTTTTTCAAAAAATTATTAAAAATAATTTATTTAGAGAAAAAGTTTAGTTAAAAGTTTAAAAAAATAATAATTTATTTAAATTGATGAAAATAATTTTGAAGAAGTTACAGTAATAATATTCTTAATTATAATGTAAACTAATGATTTTATCACTCGGTCATGTTTTATAATAATATTCTTATGAGTTGTTAAAATTCAAAAAGGTTTGAATTTAACATTTTTGAAAATCTTATTTCCTATGGAAAAATAATCATGATTAAATATTTATTTAAAAAAGAAGTTATTGTTATTTTCGAAATAATTTTACAATTAGAGAAATTTATAATTAAATGCAATAGGACATTTTTTTGAGTATTTAATAATTTTTAGATAGAATCAGAATATTCTTTAGGGTCAGTGAAAAAGACACAATTTTGTCTGGAAATCAGCGTGAAAAGACAGGAAAATACAAAATTATAAATTTTTGTAGCAACCCTAAATAATTATACACAAAAAAACGATAAATACTTTGGTATAAATTTGCGATTGAATGCGGAAAAATTCGAAACCGTTAAAACGATCAATATTGCTCGGGGGAATTTCTCAATTCTGTATAACGTATATATATATAAATATCTATATACACAGGAGGTAAACATCTTTTGAATACACTTGGATGTTCAAAAAAGAGATGGGTTTATATAGTGGAAGGTTGTCCAATAAATGGGGAAAATGGGGTGCGAGAAAGCGAGAGATTTGATAGGGAATTGGGGGTGGTTGGAGAAGGAGAGAACAAGAGAGCCTCGATGTTAGAAATAGGGTCTAACCGAGCGTGAGAGATTAACCCCCTCAAACAGCGGCCGCCCAGTATATCAAGGCTCGTGATAAAACGCCTGCCTTTTGGCTGCGTGTTGCCACCCCTAACTGGCTCTATTGACTACCAGAATCCAATATATATTCTAACCCCGCCAACCATCGGAGAAAACCGACTGGGAGGCACCGGAATTTCATACATCTTCTTTCAACCGATTCGATCACACACTTTCTCTCTCTCTCTCTCTCTTTCATCCCTTTGCCGGATACGATCACAACCGGATTGAACGTTCACCACCGAATTGATCCCCCTGCAAAAAGCGAACGATTTCACCAACCCTCATTTGTTTAAAAGATCAATCGCCCTTTTTGGCTCGTGAGCAACATTTTTTTTTGCATTTTTTTTTTAAATTCAATCTTACAATGTCATGGCAGATACAAATTTATGTGTATAAATAAGATTTCGAATGAGACAAGTGCGGTGATCTGATATTTCAGACAAGTCGAAATAATTTATTTGTGAGAGTTTAGGGTGGAATATTCAGCAGGAAATGAGATATCCGAATCGAAAATTAGGTGCATTGTTTTATTTGATAGGAATACGCTAGGATTTTAATAGAAAAATGTCTTTGCTTAACTGTACAAAAATATCGCTGCTTGGGGGTCAATTACGTAATTTTATTTCTATTTTCACTTCCATTATCATTTTCGGTTTCACTTTGATAAATATTTATTTTTACATTCACTTTCACTATGAAATATTTTTATTTGCACATTGACAGAATTTTATTATCATTTTCACTATTGACAGATTTTTCATTTTCACTTTAAATTCCACTTTTATAGAATTTTATTTCCACTCTCCTTTTCACTTTGATGTATTTTATTTTCATTTTCACTTTGACATACTTTTATTTTCACTTTCTATCAAAATAAAAGTAAAAGTGAAAATCAAAATCTATCACAATGACAGTGAAAATAAAATAAAATTTTCCAGTATATTTAATTCATTTAGTCAAGTATTTAATTTTAGACTAATATTTTTACAATGATTTATAAGAATAAAAGAGGAAAGAAATAAATGTTATAACATTAAATATACTTCTGCTTTTATAAAATTATTTTTATTATAAATTTTGAAAATTATATTTTTCATAATTATTGGTTTTTAAAATATAACAATGATTTCGCGTATTTATTCCTAAATTCTTTAACTAAATGCATATTAGAAAATAAGAATTTCAAATAATATAATTAAGAAAATTGAATTAAACTTTTTCAAAAAAATTAATTTCAAAATTCAATTATTTCCAAAACTTCACGCTCTATATTGCTTTTAATATTGAATTATAAACTAAAATTTTAACTGAAATTCATTTTTATGAAATGAAAATCAATTTTTATTAGAAAATTCTACAAGAATTTAATTATCTAAATGCAAAAGTAAATAATTTATTGAATAATTGAATGTTTCTCAAAATTCAATTCTCATAAAGAATTTTAGTAACAAATTTTTAAATAATTGAATTCTTTTGTCGTATTGTATTAAAACTTACATGAACATAATTACTTTTTTCAAGAAATTCAATTATAATTGTATGAAAAATAATTGAAACGCTGCGATGAGTTTCATGAGAATTTTCAAATTCATTCGTTTACAATTCAATTTTACAAAATTTAAAAAAAATTTTTTTTTATTACAAAATTCTGCAATTAAATATATATATTGAAAAATAAAAACTTGAAATAATTTCCATAAAAATCCTATTAAACTGTTAAAAAGAATTAATTCTACAGAATTTTTTGTCAATAATATGAAAAATTAAGAATTTCAATGATTTTAGTTTGAAATTTTTTCAAAATT